ATAGGACATTTGAGTTGGAAGGGACTTCTGAAAGTCACTCCTTCCACTACTGAAATGCACTACCCACCTCCTTACTGTGCTCACATTGACTATTTGATTTCCATGAACAAGCAAGCATCAATTAATATTAATGGGTGCAATTTTTTTCTGTACCCAATTCAATTCCAAACCTTTGTTTCATATTCACTTCCATGTCAGACAACATTCTGCTGGACTACCTCTGTGTTGCTGTCTATCACACAGCTACAAAACATAATGAAATATTGGTGGAAAGGTTCAACCTCTACTGCCACACCACTGATATATGTCTCTGATGTTTTGGACCAACACAGCAAAATAGGTGGCATTATTTTTGAAGCACCCTTTGTAAAAGAGATAATATAATTAATGTATATAAGTAACACAAATTATTTTATTTGTTAATATTTTTATTAATATATTAAAAAGAGCAACAAAAGCATAAAACTAGCGGGATATTTGTCCCTCTTTTTGTGAAACCAACACATCATTGCTGATTCACGTTCATTTTTTCATCCACCAGGACCCCCAGGTCCTTCTCTGCAGGGCTGTTCTCAAGGACTGCTCCTCCCAGTCTGTATGGATGCCTGGGATTCCTCCGGCCCAAGCGCAAAACCTTGCACTTTGCTGTCTTGAACCTCATTATTTTCACCTGTGCTCACCTTTCAAGTCCGTTGAGGTCCCTTTGAATGGCATCCCTTCCTTCCATTGCATCAACAGCACCACTCAGCTTGGTGTCATCAGCAAACTTGCTGAGGGTGCACTCAATTCCATCATTGATGCCATTGGTAAGGATGTTAAAGAGCACCATAGGTAGCAAAGATATTCTTAGTGTTAAGCACTCTGAGAAGGGAGTGGTTTCTCTTGCTAGCAACAGTAGAACTAGGCTGAGATAAGCTTTAGAAAATGAGTCAAAACAAACTTTTATTTTAGCCTGCATGTTTTGGAAGAGGGTTGGCAATATACTGTTTAACATACACATATTGACTGTTCATGTATGTATGTAACTGCAATTCAAGCTATTCTTACCTCATCTTTACTTTTTTTTTTTTTTTGCTATCTGCTTCTGACGTAAGCCGTGCTAATTAAGAATGGCTGGCTAGGCGGAGTTCTTATGATTCTCATTAATTTGTGTTTTAAGAGCTATCTTAACAAAAGCAGTGGACAAAAAGAGTGCAAGTCTCAATGTTAAGGACATAGCAGGTGCAGAAACACTTGATTTTGCAGATGTACCATAAAATTCATAACTAAGTAAGGAGGTATGGCAAGTCAAGGACTGTGACAATATCTGGATTTCAGAGCTCTGCAGATGCTCTCCTTGCTATTGGTACTGCTGCTGGCAGAAGAGATGCTTTCCATTGAAGGAAGGGTCCAAGAGTTACCAGAAGCAGCAGTGCTGGCTGACATTAAGAAATCCTATAGTAAATTAACTGAGATTCCTCTTCAGTAATGAACTAGATGATCGTAGAATCACAGGATGATTTGGGCTGGAATGGACCTTAAAGGTCCCCTGGGAAGGATATTTCCCATTCGACCAGGATGCTCAAAGCCCTACCCAGCCTGGCCTTGAACACATCCAGAGATGGGGTATCTACAGTTGCTCTGGGCAGCCTGTCTCTGAGCCTCACCATCCTTATGGTGAAGAATTTGTTCTGATTATCTAATCTAAAAATATCTCTTTTTTTCCCCCTAGTTTAGTTTAGTTTAGTTTAGTTTAAAACTGTTACCCTTGTAACATATCTGTGTCTTTCTTTTGCTGCAGACCCCATATCTGAACACAGTTCTTCAAGTGAGGTCTCATGACAGCTGAGTAGAAAGGGGGAAAGAATGCATCCCACAGGAGTTTTCAGATGATAAAAAATCTGAGAGGAGTTGTGCTGTCATGCAGTGGGACCTGAACAGGCTGGAGAAATGAACTGACAGGAAACTCATGGAGGGAACTTTGACCTTGGAAGAAGTATTTCCACTCACCACACACAGGCTCAGGCGGACCAGTTATAAAGCAACTTCGCGTAAAAGAACCTGGATGTCCTTGTTGACAAGTTGAAGATGAGGCAGCAGTGCGCCCTCGTGGCAAAGAAGGCCAAGAGCGTTCGCGCTGCATCGGGAAAAGTGTTGCCATCAGACTGTAGGAGGTGATCTTTCCCCTCTGTTCAGCACTGGTGAGGACACTGCTGGAGTGCTGTGTGTAATTTGGGGCTTACCATTAGGAGAAATGCATAAACTTAGTAGAGCCGGTCCACTGAAGGGACACTCAAATGATTAAAGGACTGAGGCATCTCAGATGAAGACAGGTTGAGAGAGATGGGATTGTTCAGGCTGGGAGAAAAGGAAGCTCAAGGAGAATCTCATCAATGTGTAGAAATGTCCAAAGGGAGGCTGTAAGAAAGGAGAGCCAGGCTCTTTTTGCTGGTGTCTGCTGACAAAACAAGAAGTAACACAGGATGTTCTGTCTGAACATCAGGAAAGTAGTCTTTTTTACTGCAAATGTGGCTGAACACTGACTGGCACATGTTCCCAGAGAGGCTGTGGAGTCTCTGTACTGGGAGATATTCAAAGCCATCTGAACGTGATTCTGGGCAGACTTCTCCAAGTGATCCTGCTTGAATTGGCAATCTACCAAAGTCTGTTCCAGCATCAGCTCTTCTGTGATTTTGTGTTATTTAACCAGTGAATCTAAAGCAACCTATTGCAACTTGAAGTCTAATGACAACATATTTTACCTCAGGATGCTGGTTACTGGTTTATCATTCTGCTTTTCAGGAGTTCCATATTATTATACCTTAAAGGAATGTTTTTGAATGGACTTCCTTCTTGCTGTGGAATGTAACTGGTGTCTCTGCTCATTTGTTTGCTTGCCGTGTTTATAAAGTCACTTAATGACTTAATGCACACTGCCAAAGAAAGAAACTGCTAAGCAGTTGAGGAGATAGCCTGGAAATCTGAAAGTTGCTATGGAAGACAAAAAATTTGGCACCTCAGCTACACATTTCCTTGTGCCTTACTGCTGTTTTCATTACCACAATAGCCCAGAGGATTAATGCATTTAAATAAATATGAACTCAGATTTTCTCTGAAGCTCATTGCTTTTTAACGTTCTTTAGGTGCAGAAGGTATTTAGGAATGGTTTCAAGACCAAGAAAAGAGGAGGCAGTGAAATTGGTAAGGTAATAGAAGAAAGTTGGCAGCCTGCAATAGAGGGGTGGCAAGTGATTTTCTTCTTAGAGAAAGGGGGAAATAAACAACTTCACTAATTAGGCACAAATAAACCCAGCCCATTGAGTGATGGCTGATGGTAGTTTATGGCAGCGTTAGTAGTCAGATGGTAGTGGTAATTTTTTGTGTTTGTTTTATTTTGATTTGTTGTTGTTTTTATTTTGTTTAAGTGAATGTGTTTGAGAAGGACTCTGAGTCCTAGCATAGATTTCCAGATGCCTTCTTCATGAGCTGGCTATTGTTTCTTACTATGGACAAACACAAAAGGTCAGTGATGGTTTTTACGCCTTACGCCTGACAAGCTGCACATCAAGGCTGATGAGGCTGAGAGTGAAAGTCTACAGGGTGCTTGTGTGAATCTAGTCATTTCAAAGATGAAAGTCATATGAGGCTTGTTGTTTGTAGCAATAATGTGGACTCTAGCTGTTGCTCAGGCAAGACTTCCATGTTAGTGATGATTTGAGCTGAAGAATGACTTCAGTGGGAAGTAAAATGTTAGGGGGAAAAAGTGAACTGAATAACAGCATGTGTTAAAAGGACTAAGAGAAACCTGGTGAGTATCTTCCTGAGTTAGTACACCTGGCTATTTGATACAAGCTTTATTTATGGAATCAAATAGTGACCAAGAGTTTGAGGAGATTGAAGGACCCATTGGAGATATGTTTAGCAACCTGCAGCATGGGATAAAAAAGTCAAGTTTTTAGGCTGCAATCTGATATTTTATCTTTGAGGTATATATGCTAGTAGGTCCGGGTTGGATGCATACTCACAGCTGTGAGTTTATATCCAGCTCTGTGAATGGACAACTGAAACAGTGTTCTGTTCTGGGTCACTGTAGCAATACCTTTCTTATTAGTTGCTTCTGAGAGTGGATTCTGGGAGTATTTCCTCCCTGAGAACACTGAGTGTAGCTATTCCCCAGTACACTGCTTTAACAGCAGGAGAGTAAATCACCAACACAGAAAAATACGTATATTTTAATGTCATTAAATAACTTTGCTATCAAATATAAAACCTTACATGAAAATAAGAGCTGTGACTTTTCAGATAATTTGAATGATAGTAATCTGAATAAAAATGTTTGGCTTGTTGGCATAATAGCTTAATGAACTGACTCCCAGATGGTTTTACAAACTCCAGATAACATGCAAATTCTCTTAGTCAGGTGGAAATAAAGGTGAAACTGAGGTGGAGTCTAGCAATTCTTAACATCACTTCACAGGAAAGAATATTTTTGCCAAGTAGGAACAGTGGAGAATTTATGTCCCCAGAATGCAAATCTGAGCTGAATTTTGTCTTGAGAATGTAATGTTAATGTCCATATTATGGACAATCAAGATCTCAAAAGAAATTTGTCTCAGATCTTCTGCATTTTTCTTGAAAGTTGTCAGTAGCACTGCAGAAAATAAAATGCAGACATTGTTCAAGATTGAGGACTGGAACATTTTGAATGGAACAAATAAATGAAAAGTAAAACTGTATCCTGTAGTTGAGCATAGCATCATGTATGGATTGCTGTATCTTTAAACTTGGAAGCGAAAGAAAGAGAGAAGACAGTCAACCAAACTGGAACATGCCCCACTTATTATTTTTTTCAGTATCTGCTTTGCCTAACTTTGTATATCTGGATTTCTACACAAATGAATGATACCTCATGCTTTAATATGCTATCCCTGCATCCATCTGAAAAAAACCTGTAGTACAGCATCTGGTCAGTATACATAAGATATTAATTTTCAATAGTTTTTTTTTTTTTTTTAAAAAAAAAAGGTATAATAACAAAAAATTACATTCAAAACAATTTTTTTCTTTCAGTTATTTCTAGTTTTAAATGCCCTATGGAAATTTCATGGCTTTTCTCAGAAGGTGGGGCAGTGTCTTTAAGTTCCTTTTTCTACCATGGAATGTACAAGAAAGTTGCTGGTACAAAGCCCAGAGCATTTATGGCCCATGATTAAATACCCTGACTCTGATCATATTTTCAGCAAGGTCAATGATTCACAGGTTAGTGCCCAACTCTATTCCTGAGACATTCACTTCTGCAATCCTTGCTGTTCTGCTCTCTTCATTGACTCTCACTGACAGCATTTTACAGTGTCACAGAGCATAATGAAAGATACAGCAAAACAGTCACAGGTGTCAAACACAACCATACAACTGAAGACTGCAGGATCTTGAGGAGCGCTTAGACGTTTAAACAGCTTCTCCTTATGCAGACGCTCAGGATTCTTCCAAGTCAGCCTCTGCCCTTAAAAAATCTGCCACAGTGAGAGTAGTGCTGCTAAGTGCTAGGCTGTTTTCTGTGGCCTTGTCAAAGGGTGAAGGAGTCTCAGCAAAAAACAAAGCAAAAGAAAACAATGAAAATAAGATACTTTGTACTTATAACAGTTGGAGCAGTGGCTTGCTCTGCTTCTCTTCTTATTTGTTACTGTTGACAACGTGGGTAGATTTCTGCCCTTCATATCTCACCATCTTCCTACCTGTCCAGTTGCTAAATACATTTTTGTGTTGGAAGAAAGATCTCTTTATTTTTTTTTCTTTTTTCTTTTCTTTTCTTTTTTTTTGTGGCATGTGGATGGCAAAGTTTTCATCTCCTCTTTCCAGATTTAATGAGATCACTAAATTCAGTTCTTTATATCTAGGTAGTACCACAGAAGGTAAAACCACATTGGTCCATTCAGAAGTGAATCAAGCCACTGAGTGCAGGAAGGTCCAAGGTGGCATTTCCTCTTAGTGATCAGGACTGCAGCCAGAGTAACTGCACCAGGAGCCAGGAAAATTCGTGTGTGTGCCAATTAATAATATAGAAGACTGAGGTGAACACTGACAGTTGTTCAACCAAAAAGCCCATTAAATCAGGAGAGTTTTCCCCAAAGGGTAGAAAAAACTCATAGAGACAGATAGAGTACTGTATTTGCTACTGTTCTATAGCAAAAATAAAAGCAAAGAACACTGGACAGTGGATTTCAGTCATCAGATGGAAATATTACATGTTGTTCTGCAGGGTGTTTGGAGAGGATTCTTGTTCTGGCACGGCATCTGAAACAATGGGACCTCAGACCTCACTATGTGCAGAAATGGTTCCCAGTCAGCAGTCTATAGCTGCTGGCCTCTATTTCAAGCTGGATACCTTTTAGACTGCGAGACTGACACCTGAAATAGAAGTAGATGTGATTTACAGAAATATGAGAGAGAGGAGCTGAAATAGTTGATGATAAATGTTCTCTTATCACAGGATTTGGAGAAAGAATGAGAAGGGCCTCAGGACCCTTGGGTGTGCAAGAAAGCAGGACTGATTCTGAGGAATTAATTCCCTTCTTAATACAAGAAGGGATAGATTATGATGTCAGCATAATCATCCTCTCAGTGCAGAATGAAGCCTGGACTGCTGAGACCTAGTGTTGCAATAAAACAGAGAAATGGAATGCAAAGATCACTTGCTGTTTCTGTTTTAAGTATGGTTCACTGCTGGGCAGCCTGTGTTGGACCAATGTCCTGGGTCCTTCACCTCAGTGATGATAGAACTGCCTGTACATAATGCAGATCCTCTCTCATCCCTCTCCCAGCTGTACTTTTCTTACAAATGGTGATGGACAAACAAAGACTTACATAAATCAATGATTTTAGGAACCAAATCTACCAATAAGCCATAATAAAAGATGAAGCTGCAGGACAAAATAATAAAGCTTGTGCCATGGCAGTCTAACAGAGCACAAAGGAGAAATGGATTACAGGGTAAGACACGAGAAAGGTGTTTGGATTTACTGCTGGATGGAAGAGATGTTTCAGGAACTAATTTGTCCAAGGAAGTTAAAGTCCGGCATAAAACTCAGCTTTCTGTCAGCAGCTGAATGTAGACAAAAGATTCATTGAAAAAAGAAAGCAAAGCTTGTGATTTAGGGAAGAGCTGAGTGACAAGTAATTACTTACTCTGGCTGGTAGATGAGATATTTCTGTTCTTCAATATCAAAAAACCCAGAAGAAGTGTGATCAGTACAATTACAGCTATAAGTGGGCCAAAGAAATTTACTTTCACCGGTTCCATTTTTTCTGCCTGTATCTCTGAATAAGAGAAGAGAAAAGATGCATGTAGCAAAGATTTAATTTGCCGAGAATTAGCTTAACCCATCCTCACCCAAATTTATGTAAATTAGAAGTTTATAGAAGGGCCCTAATTATCCTTTGCTTTTACAGTATTTAATAATGCTAGGAAATCACTCTCCATATGTCTTGTTTTGTTTTGTTTTTTTTTCCCCAGTAGCTAGCAGGTGCACCAAGGCTAACAACCACTTCAGCAACAGTAAGGAAAAGTGCTATTTCTGATGTTTGGGTTATGTGAGAGATTGGCAGCTTGATTAATACAAGAGCCTATGATGCCAATGCCAGGCTACTACTACTCTGCTACTGAAAATTTAAATAGCCTGGGATATGTTATTATGTATTGTCTGTTGAACCGAAGATCAAAGCTTAATGAAAAGCTCTAAGGGATGTGAGAGAGATAGGGAATGCACGGGAGTTTCCTTCTGTTTCTGGTTATTTTGCTTTTGAGGTTTTGGTTGCTAGGGATAGCAAGTGACACGGCTGCAATTGTCACTGAATAAAGGTTTTTTTTCTCTAGAGTTGTTAGTTTCTTATCCACCATTACTGTTTATTAGGTGGCTACTTGTTAAAGTCAGGGATGAGAAGAACTGAACAGGGAAGAGGAGGAGGCACTACTATGGCTAATATTAGAGGTGTTAATACTTTGAGCAACATTTAGAGCTTTGCAAACCTCCGAAGACTTCTGTATTATAATTTACAAAATCCTGGAGTGTAAGGACATCAAAGGCAGTTTGCCATATATAGCAGTGATGACTGAATCCTCTAGTTAAAGTTTAGTGAAGAAAACTGATTTGTAGATCTTTTTGGTAAATCTTTTTTCCATCCAGAGTAGTAAGTAAGCAGTAAATGGGGAAGCCTGTAAGTAAGTAGTAAATTTCTCTAATAGGCTTTCTGCAGTGTTACCAGTCCTTTTGGGTTTCTTGTTCCTATCAGGTGAATAACAGCATTCCACATTCAACACAGTCTTAAAGGAGATGGGCGAGGCAAATGACTGAAGTGGGAAGCAATTCCATTTTGATGTATTTGTGCCATAGCTTATGAATACAAATGTATAAAAAATGAATCCAGGAGAATGTTACAGCATCATGATATTCATGAGGGCTCACTCTGGCATGTAGTTTTTCAGTTAGAAAGGGTAAAGTAAACTGTGAGGCACACAAAAATATCTACACACAACTGACACTGTGATCATTAGGGAACATTTGGGATGGCACAGTCTGAATTTCTTGCAAGAGGTGCCTGAAAAGAGGCACAATCCCAGAGAAAAAGAAAAATCCCCAAATGGTCATTTTGGAATGCACACTGTATTCTGCCAAATGTTGTGGAAACCACTAGGAATACTTCCAAAACCCATCAAAGTTTTGTGGCCTTTACATTTTAGTTCAGTATAGTCTATTTTACAGCTTGTGAGCCAAATTTGGTCCAAGGGACTCTTCTGTTCAGCCCTCTGCCTCTCTCTAGAAACTGATTAGGAGCAGCAGCTCAAGAACTTATACATCAGAAAAAAAACACGTTTGCAGTGTGAGAGTCGTCAAACACTGGAACAATTTGTTGAACGAGGTTGTGGAGTCCCATCCTGAGAGATATTTAAAACTCAACTGGATAAGGCCTCAGGCTGATTTCCAGATGCTTCTCAAACCTCAGCAGTCCTCCGTGATCCAGCAGGCTCTATCTGAACAGCTAAACACCACCTCCAGAGACAGGCTGAATGCTAATCCATGTATTTAGTTTGCTTTGTTGCTGCAGCAGCATTTGGGGATAGGTGAACAAGACTGTGTTCTGTTCTGTGCAGCAGTAACCTTCCTTCTCTCTGTGCTCTCCTTTCTGTAATAAGGCTTCCCATGGAAAGGCAGAAGAGGGAATTTGGTGGCCGTGATTATCAGTGAACAGGATGACAAACATAGAAGTCCTGTAAGTAGCCCCTTCTGCTACTTAGGGCTATGTTGCCACCTGTGATCATTTCTACTAAAGCATTCTCAGCTCCTACCTGTGCAAAAATCAGAATGAGCAAATGAAAACTCACCTATGACTAGTGGCACTGAGGTAAGGCTCCCCTGCTGCTCTCCAAGGTGAAGCAAACAGCTAATATTAGTGAGTGTATTTGTAGGAACTGGGATATTCAGCTTGCTGGTAACATTATACAGCTTTGTTACAGCATCCTGTAAGACATCCATGCGTTGTATAAGCCTATCTGTTATGTTTTCACTTGAAATTATCCAAATCATCTGCTTGGGCTCTGGATAACCTCCGCTGGAAGAACAGGAAAGATTCAGGTTCTCACTGGGCTTTGGTTCCCCACTGTGTAGCTGTGCTATCACAGGTTGACTATAGTTGGCTGAAACAGACCAAAGAAAAAGAATCATGAGTCAGACATACTCCATCTTGTGACAGTGCCTGTCAATATTTTGAGATTTTCACGTGGAATCACACCTAAACAGTTTTCCTAGGAAAGCATTGTGGGTCCCAAGAAGGGTTTGTTGTGTTTTGGCTGCACACATAGACTTGCTTCTTCTTGTCTTTGAAGCATTTCAGTGACATAGGTCATATCAGCCCGATAGTGAGACTGTCTCTCTTACCTTTTCTAGACAAATTGGTACCTCGTAATAAACGAACCTGGCCTGCTCAGCTTGACTTTTTATGTGAAAGTGACTACTGTACAGGTTCCTTTACTCTGTGCCATTGGATCTCACTCAATGAAAAACTTCCCTGTTGCTTTAAAAAAAGAGTTTCCCAAGCAATAAATAATTGGTGAAAAAGGACTGGAAAGGACTATTCAAACATGTGATGTGAAGGATAATGATAGCTTTTAATCAAAGCAAAAGAAGTTTCAGGCTCAAAACTTCATTGAAAATACTGAAGTATGTTGATATTAAAGTCTTTTAGTACTAAAAACTATATGGAGAAGAGGCAGGAGTTTCTTAGGGAGATATGAGTGTAATGGATGGTCTGACTCTTCAGTATACACATTTGAAGTGTGAGATCCAGGCTCTAAGCCTAGCCCCAGTGAATTTGAATCTGTAACTGAAGATGATGTCTTCCAAATAGGCTACGGACTGAAATACCTCGAGAGACAATAGATCCATCAAGACTTTAATATTTTTCGAGCAGTGTTATCACTCTGACTTGTTTTGTTTTTGCATTCTGAAATGACTGCATGGCTTACTTCTCCTCTGTTTCTAATAGCTCTTTAAGTGTGAAACTTCATACTACATAAATAGCCTTCCACATATTCTATGCGATTCTACCTAAGAAACAGGCAGAGATACACTTGAACGTTTGTATTTTTTCTAATGATTTTTTATTTTAATTGACCCCTATATTCTACCTTCTTTTGGGAAGTTACTGAAGAGAAAAACATTCGAAAGAAACAAAGAAGCAAGTAATTTTAAACACGCTTCCTATATCAAAGGTTTGGGAGAGTTTTAATGCCTATGTATGAGACTTCTGAAACATGTTAAATTAGTTGAGGACTTGCTATTGAGTGCAAATTGTAAGTCTCTAAGGTCTGAAGCTGCTGAAAATATTCATCGTGTAAAAAATCGTGTAAAAAATTTTGTGAAAATTAGAATTAACAACCTACGTTTCCTATTTGCTTGTGCATCAAGGGAACACTTGCTGGTAGCACAGTGCTAAATAGTCCCAAGCATCGTGGTGATCTTTCTGGCTGCTGTTGCACATGGCCTACATTCTTTTGAAGCCTGAGAACACCAGTAGAAATCAGAAGCTGCTGTTATTAATGTTACCACTGTCCAAGTGGAAGAGAGAACATACACACAAAGGTGACAAAGAAAATAATATAAAATAGAAAAACATTATATAAAGATGCAATTCCTAAAAATCTGAAAAAATACTAGGAAAAGATTACTTACTTACTGAACCCTACTCGCCTGTAGTCTGTCCTTGCCTCTCATATTGTGCCAGAAATCAAGCTGAGTCTGATCAATGCCTGAATTTTTTTCTGCAGAGATATTTTCAGTCCTTCCATAACTGAGCATATGATGTTCTACTCCTCCACATATTAGCTGCTCTTTTCTACATTTTTCCTATGATTTATATCATCATAAAATAGTTGGATATTTGCAGAAAACTTTTTATGTTTCAACTGTAATTTACCACCAACATTCTTAATGCTATTGCTTTTAATAGAAGTCAGTGCTTCAGATGCAAATAAAAACTGTATTTTCTGGAGTCCTAGAAGCCATAAAACTTGCAGGGAGCAAGATGAAGAAGGCAGGGTGCTTTTCACTATACAGTGTGACAGGGTGGGAGTCAGGAATGTGTAATACTGAGCAAATTATTTCCTCTTTTTTTCTACTTCTTCCAAATTCACAATGAGAATTTTCTGAGAAAGAAACTGAGAAGAAGCACTTCTATCCACTTTAGAAATTCTCTCCACTTCAGCTAGACCCCCCAGTGGCATGGGAACAGTCCATGTTTGAACTAAACAAAATGACAGAAACCTAAAAAGAAAATAAAACAAACAAACAAACAAGCAACACAAAACAACAACAAAAACCAAACCAGATGACAATTAGCAGAGATTACTTACCAGTGATGTGCAGTAAGCACTCAGATTCGTGTATGATCTTTTTTGGTCCCTGGTCCATGTGCATAATAATACATTTATACAGCCCCTCATCCACAATCCTTACATTTAACAATTGCAAAGTCCATTTGTCCATATCCATCTTGGTACGATTTATGTATTTAGGACTAAGGTGATCATATATTTCCTGGCCAAGGTAAACTTCGTGTACCACTTCACCAGTACCTTTTTGCCAAAAAACTATTATATTCTTTATGTCAGTTTTCTGAGAGTTTGGGAAATAGCAAGATAGGTATGCAGTGTGATTGAGAAATGACTTCACGTGATGTACATTGGCAGCAATACCTTAAATAAATTAAAAAAAAAGAGAAGAAATTAAGATTTCCATCAACTGCAAAAGAATACCAAATGCTTGCAGTCATGGAGGCAATACTTAGTGACAGTAGCATAAACCCACCAGCATTTAGACAAATTCTCCCACTACCTATGAGAGGATACATACTTCTTCACACCGATGCACTTAGTCTTGTGGCATTCAGGTCATAAATCCGTTTCTTATTTTCCTTCCTATATTTCACTTTCCAAGGCAGGCTTACCACTCAGAGCCAGGGACAGTCTGTATTTTGGAAGATTTAACTTCAGGCAAAAGGCCACAGCTCCACACTGTTCTCAAATGTGTAAGCAATGAGATTCTGTTGTGAATGAGGCAACTGCATAATTTGTTTTTCAAAACTCAAGTTCATTCTCTTCAGGAAACAACACAGCACTGCAGTTTTGGAGACAGTGTGAATGCAGCATATGTGGTAAATGTTGGTGTCTAGGGAATATATGGCCAGGAGGTCAGAAACAGGAAAAGCTTTCTGTTTCACTGAAGAATTAATCTAAGTTTAATGACAAATTAAATGTCAGATTTAACTATTCTGTAATTAATCCAAAGTTTAATGGCAAATTAAATGTCGGATTTAACAGCCCTGTTGCTGAACTTGTTAAGAAATAGTCAATAAACACGATTATGCCTTCATGCATCAAAAGAATGGACTATATTACATTCAGGATGATTATTCTCCTACTTCCATCACAATCTATATCCACTGATATTATGAGGTAGAGATGGACTGGGAGAATAATCTTTTCTTGTCATGAGAAATGCAGACCTCTGTTCTAGCAGATACAAACACATTTGCTGTGTTCAGAAGATGCACTGTTTCTCTCCTGAATTAAAGTTTTGACTGATTTTCTGGAGCACAAGACTGCAGTGATCTTCATAGCTGCCTAAAACTCCATTTATTCCTTATCAAACTGTCAGTCTTTAGTTCAGTACTGCTGTCCTCTCTTATATACAGAGGGGATATACACATGTTCTCAAAAATAGATTTAAATTGAAAATTTAAGAGCAAGCAACAAGAAGAATGTATAATGTAAAGATACAAAATTGAAGAGAGAAAGTACTTTATACATTTTTTTTAATAGAGTCCCTGCTCACAGTTTAAATACGTATCACACGGATAATATGACTTTGATTTTACAACTGAAATTGCTAATTACTACTAAAAAGGAGCATCAAAGTAAATGTAAATGTATCGCGTAGCAGGACACAAATAATCTAAACATTTTTTACAATTAAAAATCTGCCTCTTACCTGGGAGAAGTATTATGGTAAAAAGAAAGAATATGCAGACCTCCATGATGCTGTAAGAAGGAAAAATTAAAGAAGTGTTTTAGAGGTTGAAAACACTGCAGTGCCTTCTCCAGTGCTCCCCAAGTAGCAGTAAAACAGGAAGAAGTTTTGAGAGAGATTTTTGAGAAAGTTAATCTCACATTTCCCTTCAACTAGTGGAAATGCTTCTCTGCGCTTTAACAGCCATTAGCAACCGGAAGCATGCTATGACAGACCTCTGGTTTACATGACTGTGGTGAGGTTCCAGATTACTGGGTATGCCATGGGAAGGGCACAGAGTCTATGGACTGCAAAGGGCCAGAGTGCCCAGAACAACTGGCAGAGAGGAGAGAGGAATGGGGAGCATGCCTGCCCTTAGCTGAACACGGAAGAAGATGGGGAATTGAAAGCAGAGGAAGAGGAGAGGGTGATACAGGAGAAGTCGGTGGTGGAGACAGGCAGCACAGTGATGTCAACTACCAGAAGTGATGAAATGGGTAACCTTCCATTGTGTAACAGGAACGTTTCCTTCACTATAATGAAAGACAACTGAAATCAATCCTGCGGGGTTTAAAGAGTTGAGGCTATGTGTCACCTGGTTTGGTCAAGAAAAATAAGTATCTATTTAAGAAAAAAAAGCCTTTTGACTCATCTCATAAGCAGAACACTTCTGCAACTGAATTCACATAGCGAACCTATATAATCCTGTTTAACAGTCAAGGCCCTTTCTCCAAGTATTTCTTATTTATAGGTGAGAGAACTGCTCCTGCATCTACTGGCTTACAGCTGATGGACAGCAGTGCCTTTGTGTTTTTCCTGTGCTATTTCCACATACCTGGGAGAAGCCTTCACACCATGCCATCCAAGGTGCTCCACTCTCCTTTCTGAATTATTCCAAAGAAGGCTCTTTTTTAGTGGAGAAGGTGTAAAAACTCTTCAGCTCTTACATGAAAAAAGAAGTGTGATTGCTGTCTTCTGGTTTCCCCTTTTTTTTTTTTGCCATGTTTTATTTTAAGCTTGTACACTTTGATCTTTTTTACCACAGATTTCTGGGAGCAAGTGTATTTTTCTGTTTAACACAGAATTTCCCTCCGTCAGCTGTTGTGTTTTCTATGTGTGTACTGCAAAACACAAAACCATATTTTTTTCCAGATTCAGCCTCTTCTTAGGAAAGAGGAGACAGAAACTTGGATGTGCCAGAGGATCTTTGTGATCAATGAGACTCGCCAAATTCATAGCAGAAGAGAGAGAGTTTGTGCAGGATCCATTGCTATAAGCAGAGATCATTTTCCTCTCCTCCATGAACCCAGCACAAACTGCCCTGCTATGCGGTGAATGTTTACCTCGGCTGGGCCCCACTCAGTTGAACCACACAACTAATTTAAGTAAAATTGCTTGTGCCAACTTGCCTGTGCCTATGCCACAAAAACCTACAGGAGCTCCTTCTCAGCAGACATGTTTTTCTCATATATATATATGAATAAGAATTTTTACTTCTAGTCAAACAAAGAAAAACAACCAACACAATAACCCTGTTTTTTTTTTTGGATCTAGTGAAAGTTTAGAAGAGGTGAATTAAAAACAGTTTAGCAACTGGAAATATAAATGACTGTACTGCTATAACAAGGCATGTTTTACAATGACATTCTCACAGGAGCAAAGACGAAAACTGGAAATGAAAATAAGTGAGAAAAACAAAACTCAAGGGAAAAAAAAAACAACAAAAATCCACAACAGATAACACTTTCTCCATGCCTTTCTTTATGCCTTTCTTTATGGGTTAGCTTTGGAGCTGAAGACAAAAGTCTCAAAGGTCTCACAGAATTTCCTGGCTGCTGTCTTCTAGATGGTGGTTACAGGACTGCCTGCATGTTGGGGGCTCTAAGATCCCTCAGGATTTCCACACGTCCTGGAGAGGGAGATCATAGTGTGACTTCTGTTGCTCTTAGATGAGCTGCTTCAGAGACAGTTGCTGAACCATGATGTGGGTCAGTAAACTGCAGTGTTGTGAGAAAACTCTCTTTCTTTATTTAAAGAAAAATCCTTAATCAGCTGATGCAAGTTCTATCAGGCACGGTCCAGAAGGCTGAGAAGAGAAAAGGCAATCAAACACTCTGCGTTGGCTACTTACACAATTTCTCAGACATTTTCAATATAAATTCTGTGCCCAATTCTTTTTTATAACTGAAGGCCACTGAAAGATTGATTATATCCCAGAATTGTTAAGGAATCAAAATGGTCCAGGTAAGATGGTGCACGACTGGCAAATGATAGGGAACAATCTGCTCCTCGCAATGGCCCCGTGCACGAGCCCCCTCCTCCAATGCAGAGCACTGTGGCTCTCTGTATCTTCATGGTTTTCCAATCACTTGCTGGCTGCATCCAATGGAAGAGGCACCTTTTCAAGATGCCAGTGACAATGGATGTGATAGGAATCCTTCGAAGATGCATAGTGTAAAATCTTTCCCTGACATCCAGAGTTATGTTTGTCTTCTGGGAGGTAAACATCCTTCCTTGCTAAGGACTAGATAAAGGTACTCTGTGGCAAGTGTCTTTCTTGTTTTTTGAAGCTTGGTCATATATTACTGCCAGTGCCCTTATGACTCCGAATTAAAAATCAGATGTAGATGTCAGAGATTAAAATGGAGAAATATTTTAATTGAAATTATGTCAGTAAGCAGCTAGTAGTTCCATTCGAACCTTTGTTTACTGGAAGGAGAAGAAACCATGTGAGTGTATGTAAATTCAGTGTCCCTATTCATGACTGCTTTCATTTGGCCCAAAGCAGTTTGAGAGAAGTCATTTTGCTGCATACAAGGGGATGAAGAACTCTAAGATAGAGAAAAAAAAGATGATTTTGCCCTTTTTACTTTTTGAGGTTGATTGCCAGAAAGTCCTCTGGAATTCATTTTAAATTGGCTTGTGCTTTCTGTTTCTTGTCACTCAAAATTCAACACATATATGCACAACAAAGCCTGAAGATTTGTAAATAAAAAAGATCTTTACATAATTATTTTTTTCCCCTTGGTTTTTGTTTGCTCTCTTTTTACTGCATTTTCACTGTTGAATGTATTCATTGCCTTTTGAAAGACACATATTATCAAAATATGTGGACTTTGTCTCATACGTTCCTTCAGTTCCTTTCAAAATGTACTTTTCAAGTGTATTTAAGAACATATGGCTGGTTTATTTTATTACACCAGGTACATATCTTCTATGGGAAGATTCTCCTTCCCTTTTATTTTGCCATGCTCTCAAAATATAACTGATTACTAAACTAGCAACCTACTCTTTTGACTTTTTTTGAGTAGGGAATTTTTCTAAAATTTCCATGCCATGCAACGCTGGGTAGCTCCACGAGCTGTTGTGAGCCTCCTGGAGACTCAGGACATCAGTGAATAAGACTCAGCCTTCTCTTTTGTTACAAACACAGGTCAATCCAAGCAAGTGTTATCAAAGTAAAGAACAACTTAAGGAAATTCCCGTAACATAACAAGGTCTGAGAATGGTAGGATTCCCTCCATTCAAACGCTTGGCCATACAACATAAATATCCAACAATGGATTATTTTCAAAACATACCATTATCCAGTCAACTTGTGCTTCCTATGTGTTTTTCCAGCAGGAAAGTGGCATTGTTGCAATCAATTGCTATTTTTTTCCAGTTCATTCTCTTTCTGAACATTCTTTTACTCTAAGTTAAATTTGGTTTATTATGTTGTTGTTACATTTTTAATAAGTCTGTATGCATAATTCTCAATTTGTTAATGCATTTTGTTTTCCTTCCCACTATTCCTTCTTTCAGTAAGATCCTTTCGCTATCTATGAGATCTTCAGGAGACCTCTGACTTCTTCTATGATTCTAGGATCACTGTGCTCTAACACACAGGATCTGGTTTACAAATGAAAAATAACACCAATTATTTAAACAGTACCTTTGGTCCAAAGGTCATGAAGCATTCCACTGCCTCTGCAAGCAAAATTCTTCCTCCACAACCAAAGGGAATTGTATCTCTGAAAGAGACCACAGCAGCTGCCGAATGATGCACAGTCCTACAGCACAAGTCTCAGGACACGAACAAGTAATCTACCTAGCTGAAACGGCAAGGGGAATTTAGAGAGAAAAAGCATCATCAACCAGAATGAGACACTCATTGGGATTAACTGGGAGTTCCACCTACAGGACAGGTCAGGTCAGTGTACTTGCTATGCCTTGTCACGGAATCGATGAATGAGTTGAACCAGCTCTTCTACATGACAGATAACCTCATCAGGTGACATCTGTCCTCCTTTCCCAGCCTCTGCACTTGCTTTGATTTTAATCAAGCACAATTCTCAGCTGGGAAACCTCAAATGCCTGATTCACTTATCAGTAGTTCATGCTGAGAGGGAATTGAAATGCTCACTACCAGGCTGTCCTTCTGAGACTGACTTCCAGTCACTTTGCCTGGAGATGGTAAATTAATGGATGGTACTGGGGCCAGAGCTCACCCCAGCGCTACACAACATATTACATGGACAACCACAAATGACAGTTTTCTGGGTGCTTTGGGTGGGAATATACATGCCATACATGAAAGAATGAATTTACAATTTATTCCTAGCCCATACCCAAATACATCCAAAAAGTATTTAGCTGCCATACAGCATATGTTTGGTCCTCAAGTATTATATGCTTATTATTGATTTTCAATAGGTGTCTTTAAAAAACACAGCTAGACACATATGATGCAAACTTCGTTCTGCTTCTTAAACAGGAACATCACTAATCAGAAGCTACATTTTTCTTCCTGCAATAGATCTCAATTATTAAATGAAGACATGATATTCAGAAATGGAGTTAGATAAGCCAAGCTGTGCTGCTCCCAGTTTTAGAGCAGAAATCACTCTGGGGACATATTCTTATTTTCTCACAGTGTTTCTCACCGCACATTAAATGATTTATAAAGTTAAAGGAAGAGGTTTTGCCTTTTGGTTTTGGATCCCTTCCCCCAAACACCAGAATTACAGTAGATGAGAACAAAGTACCCATTTCTCTGGTACAGATATTTCTACTGGTATAAATTAGAGATTGCTGTTTTTATGACATACATAATCAGAAAACACCTTGCATATCCACATTATTTTTTTCTTTCTTAGAAAAACTTTCTTAGTTTGTGATTATAAATGCCCTGCTTTAGGAATTAAAGCAATAATTGTGCTAGTGCTATCATAGGCAATCCCTCATTCTGTTATAAATTGATCATCTTGCTCCAAGGAATAAGGGATGTGTGTGTGAAGCTACAATGATTAGCAGCTGTGATTCAAACTAAATAGAGAGCAGCTGTGGAGCTACTTTCCTAATAGCAATTACATTTTTACAAATATATGCTCCTATATATTAGTAGGAGCTTTATGAAGGCTTGTCTCAGTAACTGCTCAAATCATTATCACATGACTAAAAGAGCCAACACAGTTAATTGAAAGCAGTATCACAATACTAGGGAGTACCTAATTTCTTTCTTCAGGCTTCCTGTCTCAAAGGCAGCAAAATACTCCAGCACAGATCTTGATGATATAGATGTTCATTCTTTCCTCTGTTCTCCACTACATGCTGAAAGACTTGGACAGAGAAAATCTACACTGCCCTCTTGCAAATGCATATATGCAGCTTTTGTCCAAAAGGTTCCTCTTTTAAAGTTGAAATTCCCCTTGCTACAAAGTACTTTTATTTCTCGTAAGTGACGGTATTACTCACGGTATCCTTGAACTCCCGTGTAGCCCCAGTCTTCAAGAGAACTGTTGCTTGGATTTTGCTTGTAGGCAAAAGCCCTTCGATTGTAGGAAATAACTGTTTTTTCATTTTGTTTGTTTGTTTTTTAACTAAGACTTGATAGTTAAAGCTGGCAAGTTCTACTCAATTCTGTTTGCCTAACTAGGTCTTATATCAGTGGAAGAGGAAATAGTTTTGTTGGCAAGGACTGACCTTTCTCCAGTGAGATTAAACAAAACTGTCCTTCCCTAATTCTCAGCTGCTGAAAGCCACCAAGTTGATTTAAGATCTGATGATGAATAAAAACAAGAGCTGAATGGATTGCTATACAAGAATGGTGATTTTGAGATTGATTCCATAATAATCATGGGAAATAAGAGAAATCTATGGCCATCCATTTACCACAAATTCCATGCTTGCCAGGTTGTGTTTGAGTTTTCTGTATGACAAAGAAGTTATGCTTATTTAACTATTTTTACATATAATTCTTTGATAAAATGATAACTTATTTCCTCTGTACTTTCAATTTATCTACATTAAATTTGTTTCTCTTGTAATCTCATTTCAACTATGCCAGCTTAGTAGAAATTCTAACTTCAATATCCATTAAGATTTGCTTTAAGTTGGCTTATGAACATGCAACAAGCCTCATAAAAGCCCAGTTTAACAATAGCAGTTGTGCTTACCAGACGTAGACCAAACATTATTCATATTTGAGTCTCTTGTCTCTGAATCACAATTTACAGATGGCATTCAAAAAGAAGCTGTCTGGGGAAAAAAAATTCATCCTATATCTATTACCCATTAAATTTCATTGGAAAATAATTTGAAATCAGATTCTATGCACACGTTTTCCTTGTCTGAGACAGGCTACTCAGCAGTTGTCATTAGAAATAGAGAAGTAAGCTGCTATGAGTGAAAAAAGAGAAGGTTTTCCGGTCTGTAGCAATCAGAGAGCTATAATTTGCTTTTAACTCAAGTTCTCAGTGAAAGCAGCCAAAAGAATAATTTCTTCAACTAGATCAAAAACTAACAGAATCTAAATTAAGTATTTTCCAAACAAGTTCAGCAAAATCTAAAACCTCAGAGCTTTTACAAGGTTTGATTTTTTTACTTGCTTGCAACTCAGTGTTGTGGTTAGCAAAAAAAACAAGAAGTGATTGAGTATCTTCTTCTCACTGTAAGATTTCATCAAGAGTAGTGATGGAAGATGCCTCAATGTTGTGTCGGAGATAATAAAATTTTAAATTCTACATATGCTTTGTCTTTCTGCCTTCAAAGTCTCGCTGAATTTCACACGAATGTATTGAGTTCAGTTTTCAGATGAGCAAGTTGCTGGCCTGCCAGCCTGGATGCAGTGGATGAAGAGGCCATGCCCTTTGTGTGACACTGAGGAATGTCTAATGTGCTTTTCTGCTTGCTCATGGTGGACATTCGGCTAAACATCAATAGATTATCTAAAATGTTATTGACATAAAAAATCATAGAATATCCCAAGTTGTAAAGGACTCGTAAGGAATATCGAGTACAACTCCTGGCTTCACACAGCATCACCCAAAATCAAACCCTACGCCTGAGAGTGGTGTCCAAATAGCTCTTGATCTCCAGCAGCTTAAGGCCATTACTAGTGCCCTGGGCATCCTCTTCCAGGGCTGCATGACCCTCTGGTGAAGAACCTTCTCCTAACACCCAAATCTGACCTCCCCCAGCACAGCTCCATGCCGTTCCCTCGGGCCCTGTCGCTGTTACACAGAGCAGAGCTCAGCGCTGCCCCTCTGCTCCCTGTGAGGAGCTGCAGCCGCCATCAGGCCTCTCCTCAGCTCCTCTGCTCTGGGCTGAGCACACCATGGGACCTCAGCTTGCTCCTTGCTCTCTCTCAGCACACCTTGCTCTCTAGACCCTTCACCGTCTTTGTAGACTTTCTTTGGACACTCTGTAATAGTTTTATGTCCTTTTGGTAGTGTGGTTCCCAAAACTCAAGGTAGGGTTGCACCAGTGCAGTGTACAGTAGGAAAACCACTTCCCTCGCTCAGCTGGCACTCCAGGATACAGCTGGCCTTCCTGGCTGTCTGGACACATCTTTACTTGTGTTCAGCTTCCATTAACCAGAACACCCAGATCCCTTTCGGTAGGCTGCTCTCCAAACTCCTGTCCTCCAGCCTGTACGTAAAGCCAAGGGTTGCCCATTCCCACGTGCAGAATCTAGCACTTGCTCTTGTTAAACTTCATGAGGTTGGTGATTGCCCAGTTCTCTAATTGCAGGTCTCTTTTGCAAGGCCTCTCCACCCTGATGGACTCAACAGCCCCTTCCAATTTATTAGGCTCAGCAAAACAGCTCAAAAGATCTTTTTAGTCCTACATCCAAATCATTTATGAAAACATTAAAGAGAACCGGCACTAAAATAGAGCCCTGGGGAACCCTGCCATCCTGATGTAATCTCACTTACTGTAACCCTTTGGGCCTGACCCATCAGCCAATTGGTCACCCATCACATTATGTTTTTGTCTAGCCATATGGTGGACATTTTGTCCAGAAGGATACTGTGAGAAACAGTGTTGAAAGCTTAACTGAAATCCAAAAAGATAACATCAATTGGCTTCCCTTGGTCAAGTAGATAGCTGATCTTGTCATAAAAGGAAATTAAGTTTGTTAAACAGGATCTTCCCTTTATGAAGCCATAGTGACTATGACCAATGACCACATCATCCTTCAGATGTTTTTCAGTAACTCTCAGCATGGTTTTCTTCATAATTTTACCAGGCACCGAATTCAGATTGATACGCCTGTAATTGCTAGAATCTTCATCATAGGAGGAGTGGCCAGCAGGCAAAGGAGATGTTTATCTCTCTTTACTCTGCCCTCATAAGGCCACGTCTGGACTACAGCATCCAGGCCTGGGGCCCCCAACATGATGAAAATGTGGAGCTTTTGAAGGGGGTCTAGAGGATGGCCCTGAAGATGATCAGAGGGCTGGAGCGCCTCTTCTATGAAGACAGACTGAAAGAGCTGGGCTCGTTCAGCCTGGAGAAGGATGTGGAAACACCTCGTTACAGCCTCCCAGTATTTAAAGGGAGATTATGAACAGGAGGAAAATCAACTTTTTACGGAGGTAGGTAGTGATAGGACAAGGGGGAATGGTTTTAAACTTAAGGAAGGAAGATTTAGATTAGAGGTCAGGGGGAAGTTTTTCACTGAGAGGCTGATGAAGCCCTTTCACAGGCTGCCTAGAGAGGTTGTGGATGCTGTCAGCTTTCCCAGCCAAGCTTGCTGACACCTGGATCCTGCTGCCCTGCTCAATTTCAGGTATTTTATAGAGAGATGGGAGAAATGGTGGATTTGCCTGCTGTATGAGGGAAGTATGTATGGTGGTAGGTGATTGAAGAATTATCCAGGTATTGGTTCACAAAGGCTAGATTTATCTCTGTAGGGGTCAAGGAGTAACTCTGTGAACATGAGGTGCCTGCTTTGTGTTCATATTCACAAAGCCCAGCAACACAACCAGGCATTTGAGGACAAATGAACATCAGAAGTAGTCCTGTCTGGAAATCTCATAGAAGGTATCTAATGCATCTCTCTGGAGCAATGGCCAGGAATGCTTGGGGGAATGTGTTAACTTTCAGAAAAAATACAGACATTTGAAATTATTCTGGTGCCAAGTCCCATTTCATCACATCCTAATTGTTGTCAAGGAATGAGATCTGAGCTACCAGGTACACACACTCTCCTTAGTTTTATTTTGGAGAAAGAATCCATTGCTACTGTGGGGAAGTGGAAATCATATTTGAACTTAATTCCTTAAATTGATTTAATTGGCTGTGTCCTACAGGATCTTCCAGTTAAACTGGAAAATGAGGTTAATTTAATACACAATGCCTGAGTTTTGCTTAATGAAGATTAAAGAGTCCAGCACATTTAGAGAGGATTTCTTTCTCATGGCTTCTCATTTGGCAACTTGTTTAAACAAAATGCAATTATTTGATGTGGAAGTGATAGTGCAATGCAAGGGAATGAAATATTTTATATTTAAATTCGGGCACTGAGCTTACAAACTCTTAACACTATATATATGCTGATGTATGGGAGTGCTCCTGCCTATGTATCATGCTGACTCAAATTACTCTTTTTTATATTTTGCTAACTGAAGGAATTATCACCTTTGAGACCAGGGCACAGAACATGTTCCTTTTAAGTCCTCCCTGAACTTCAGAGAATCTGTCAGTCCTCATAATAAGAAATGTGAAGAGAAACTGGCTGAAAACTGAAGTACATGATTGTAGTATGTTCTACAGTGTGAATACACTGTGGAAACGTGAGAAGTGATTTGTGAAACAGGATTTTGATCTTACATGGTTTGCTTTTTATATGTAAGTTAAATTCATTGTTGAAGAATACAAATAACCACTTAAAAGTAAGGTGACAATTTACAGTAGATTTTTGTAAGTATTTTTGTAAGTATTTTGTGTGTTTTTGTAAGTATTAAGAAAAGCAGTTTCCCTTTGAAGCTTATATTAGCCCTCATATGGATGAAGCAGGGAAAACATGAAATAAATAACCCTCTTTGAATGAAGCTTTGGTATTTAAACCTCTTTTTCCATACTATGTCATACTCTGCTAATGCTGTTTTTCTTGGCTTAACTAAATTTCATATTATTGTAACTACAGACAATTCTTTCATCATGGGTGACCTTCCTATAGGTAAGGTTAGAAAATGACTTAATTTCATCCCCCTGCTGCTAATAACAGCAAGAATGACTAAAGAATGGCTAAAAGAATGCAAAAGATTGATAGGTGAAGTGAGAGCATCTATGAAGTCAGAGAAAATATCGGTGAATTTGGTAATCAGAGAAACTAAAAAGCCAGAGGAAATGACAGTAACAGGCATCATCTTCAATTAATCTCTTATTCCTTGAACTCATTTATTGCACTATCTGGGACTTTGGTGTAAGAGTTCTTTTTCCTAAAACTTCATATTTTGAAGCTCTTCTACTGATATTTCTTCAACCATACGTAATATACTTGAATATATTTGTAATTTATATAGTGCTGCAATATATATATTGTTATAAGTATCTAAATTGTCAGCAAAAGGGCATTTTTCAGGGCTCCACATGGAACTAAGTTGAAGGTAATCCTCTTGAGTCAAAGCAGACAGCAAGAGGAGAGAAAGCAGCACATTTCAGAGATGCAAGATGGGGTCACTCTCAGTATTTTGGAAAATCTTTAGGGGGTTTGATAAAAATAACAGTACATCCCCAAAGCTAAACAACACAGGTAGTTTCCCCTTGGATCAGCGAGATGTAGACAGCTGCTGTCCGGTGGCCAGTCTAAAGCAGAAGACAGCTCAAGGCTGCAAACCCTACGGATATATGCCTGCTGACATGTGACTAATTTCTATGACCTTTTATAACCTTCAGAAATTGAGTAAGTGTGTGTGATAGCTTGTATCTACGCACATTTGCAGAAATTGCTACCTTAGCTCATCGGCACTGCGAGAGCTGGAAACTGTAACTTGCCAAAGGGGAAACTGGGGGGTTTAATTTTGAATCGGATGAGAGCAATTAAATTGAATAATGGAAAATTGCCTGAGTTTCTCAATAAACAGCAATCTTGGTAGGTCTAGCAGTGGCCTCAGAGAGCTAGAAAGAATACTCTATTTGTTACATTAGTATTACCACACAGTCTTAAAGCTCAGACAGGTAATTTCACTATTTGAAACTCACTTATGTTCACCTGAAATGCAGCCATTGGCTTCATAGTATATTTTAAAAATACATAACTTCACTCCAGTTGTAATGTTAATTTGAGCACTCTTTCTTGATTTTGGTTATCTTTGTGGAAAATATCATTTTATTAGGATACGAAT